TATCCAGGGGATGAAGCAGCAGCAGGAGGGAAATTCAACGCAGCATCAGGAGCAGCAGCAAGCGGAGAAGAAGCAGCAGCAGCAGGAAACGTCCGTAGAAGTCTAGCTGAAGTCTCCCCCCTGCTGCTGGGGGCCGTTCTTGACTGCCAGCGAGAGCTGCGGCAGGAGCCCCCCAAAGCCCCCAAGCCAGTGAGCGACACGCTACTTGTCTTCAGCTGCCTGCTGCTGCTTTTCATCCTCGTGGTAGCTCTCCTCGCTCTTTGGTGGCTGCGTGCGAAGCGTCGCCAGCAAAAGGCAGCCAAGTTACAGCAGCAGCAGCAGCAGCAAGAGCAAGACGAGAACGACCCAGGGCCCACAACCAGCGACCTCGGCAGGGATTTCATGTCAGGCGCGGAGGCTGACTGCCAGTCCCTTGCAGACAGCAGCAACGCAGAAGCAGCTGCAGCTGCTGCTGCAGGCGGCCAGTACAGGGGCCCCTTATCAACGCAGCAACTGCTGCATCACAGCAGCACGCCCGCCGCGGCTCCTGCTCTGTACGCCACAGCGGCCTATGCGGGGACTTCTCTGCCTTATATGCTTGAAGCAACGCAGCAGCATCAGCAACACCAGCAGCAGCAGCAGCAGCAAACCAAGCCAGTCCATATGGCCGCTGCAACGGCACCTGTCTTTCCTTCCGATGCAGCAGCAGCAGCAGCAGCTTCAGGGTCTGCTGATGAGAACTCCCTCGCCTTCTTTGCCCCCGTATATTACACAGGCCTTACAGGAGACCGGGGCCTAGTGAGTCTGGATGCAGACAGCCACAGCATGGGCGCTGGGGGAGCTGCTGCTGCTGCTGCTGCAGAAGCCGAATGCCGGCAAACGCCCTACCCCAACCAGCAACAGCAGCAAATGCTCCTGCTGCAGCAACAACAGCGGCAGCTGCGCCACCACGCAGCGCGCGCATCATCGGCTGAAGAGGGGTCTCAGGCAGCTGCACCGGGTGCTTCCTACGTAGGTGCTGCTGTTGCCGGCCCGCAACAGCAACAGCAGCAGCAGCGGCAGCTGCACCCCACAGTCTCCCGCAGGGAGAATTCGTTCGATGGAGGGGCGCGGGCGGCGCCGGGAGATAGCGGCGTTCCCTCTGGAGGCATTTCAGTAATATCCGAAGATGACGAACTCTACCCAGAAGACTCGGCGAGCTGCATGGTCGTGACCGCTGCCCAACGGCGAGAAACAGCAGCAGCAACAGCAGCGACAGCTGCCGCAGCTGCAGGCAACGCCGCACCCAGAGGCTGCAGACACAAGGCGGGAGTCACCAGGCAGCTGTCTGCTGCTCAGGGCTTCAGCAGGGGCAGGGCCTCTCAGCCCACTCAATTTCCAGGAGAGGTGCTACAGAGGAGACAAGCCCAAACATGAAGCAACTAGGGGTAACTGGCATTTAGCTAGCGCTAGCTGGCGGTCAGCTAGCGCTCGACGGCCTGCCGCAAACGCCACTGGGGCCCCAGCATACGCCCAGGGCCACCGCCCTGCTGCAGGTGCAACCAGCCACCGGGCCAGCTAGCTAGCTAGCTATCCATCCTTGCCCCCCGCTGCCCCTCAGCTAGCTAGCNCTGGCTAGCTAGTTAGCTAGCTACAGACGTAGAAAACGTAGATGAAGCCAACAAGTATGCGCCACGCTAGATAGCTAGCTGGTCACACAGCTAGACAGCCATACTACTAGATAAAAAGGGGCCGTGAAGAAGATAGTTGCTCACGGCCCACCGACCTGCAGGTGCAGCTAGGACCTGCAGGCGTGCGCAGCTGGGCGTCAGTGATTCAGCTGGCTGGCTAGCTACGTGGCTAGCAGCCTGGCTAGCTGCCTGGCCCCTTAGTCCGCTGTTCCTTGGGGCCCTCGCCCCCAAATTTCATGAGGAGGATGTTGATCCCGCAATGCTGTTTTCTATGAATGCATTGAGGCTGCTTTTGATATTAATGACTGCTGTTGCTGCAGTTGCTGTCGTTGCTGCAGCTCCGGCAGCGCTGCAGCTGTAGCGGTTTGCGCTGTTTTTGGTGTTGGAATAACACCGTTTCTGGATTTTGTTTAACGGATGGGTAGAAGCGAGAGGAGCGACGAAGGCGTTTCCTCCTTAGTTGTGTCTACTGCCGAGAGCACAGCTGGTGCCGAGTTACTGCTGCTGNCGACGAAGGCGTTTCCTCCTTAGTTGTGTCTACTGCCGAGAGCACAGCTGGTGCCGAGTTACTGCTGCTGGTGGGCTGGTGCTGCCGCTGCTGCGTAAGCGCTTGCTCCGTTCGGCTGCTGCGTGTTGCACACCCAGGAGCAGCAGCAGCAGCAAATCCACAGCAGCAGCAGCAAATCCATCCACAGCAGGAGCAGCAGCAACCGCAGAGGCTAGATTCGCAGCAGTAGCAGAAGCTGCAGCGGAAGCTGCATTCATTCGAGAGGCACTATAGCGGAAGTAAAACTGCCACTGCAGCGATTTGAATGAAAGAAAAGCAGCAGACAGCAAAAGGGACAAGGGATGAGAATAGGAGACAGGTGGGGTAAGATACAGGCACACCG